ATTAAAGGCGTGCACCACCACGCCCGGCTTAGTCCTGTCTTTTATGTGACTCTTTGAGAAAACAACTCCATCACAGCTTCATCCTTTTGGTTTCTACCTTTGTAACCGATGTCTTCGGTCACCTCAGATAGTAACTTGGTTGCTTGTTATCTCACTTTGAATTCAGAGCAGTGTATGCTATTAACTGAAATGATTTCTTTTTTGTGAGATCGGTTTGCTTGTTTGTTTCAAGATAGGGTCTCAGTTGTGTAGCCCAGGCTGGCTATATCTGTAGCTCATACTGACTTTAGCTTGCCATTTTCCTGCTCCAGCCTCCTAAATGCTGGTTTGACAGACATGCCTCACCATGTCTGACTCCAAGATTGACTATTTGTAGTGATGTATTTAAGCATTGATGTTTCTCCTTTCTGAAGGATTCCTTGAGCATGAAATTGCAAAATGTGGCCAAGACTCAGGAAATGCTAGTAGCAGATAAAATGTGTAAAGTTTACCTAGATGAGACTATGTTCTTGCAAATACTGGAGTTCAGTCCTGTTTACACTAAATGCTTATTTTTTTTAAAGTACTTAAAGTCTTGCTTATGTTTTACAGCTCTGACTTGGCATTTGATCTGGAAGGATATGTTTTCATTCTGATCAATGATGTCCTGACAGCAGCAAATGGTGCATATGTGAAGCAAAAGTTAGACTCAAAAGTAGGTAGCAATCTACAGCTTCCTTACTGGTCACTCATGTTGGGAATGGCAATGCCAGATTTCCAGGGGAGAACTGTGGAATAACGACGTACACTTCAGAGGACTGGGGAAGGACGAGGGCTCCCTGAGGGGAACATGACTATACGCTCAGGCCCATACAAGAAAATTATGTTTGCCAGGTACTGTGGCTCATTCCTGTAATCCTAGCACTCCCCATGCTTGAAGCCTGTCTGGACTACATAATGAACTTGAGGCCAGCCTGGGTTACAGCATGAGATCCTGTCTTAAAAAACAAAAAGACAAAATTATTTTAAATTGGGAATTTGATTTTAATGCTGACTTTTCTAGAAAGAATTTGTGAAAATTGACTTAGAATGAGGTAGGAAAAGTAAGAAGTGTTCCTAGAGAAAAGTGTTATCATGTTCATGTTTTTGTTCCAGAAGACTTAGTGAGGGTCCTGGGCAGAGAGTGAAATACAGGAAGCTGTCAGGCAGTTGTGACGGGAAGTGAGTGCTGGTGGGGGCTGCAGAACAAGGATGGCTTTTATGTACTTGGGAGCCTTGACTTGCTCTTGGAGACAGCACTGGATCCCAGGCCCAGATCTCAGCTGTATACCTACCTTTTCACCTTCCATTGGTGGTCTGCACACACAGACTTTCCTAGATACTGTTTTCTTGCTCGCTGTATGTTCTGAGTACAGACACATTAAATGTTATTTTTAGATCATTCCAGACCCTCAGAAAGCTGATTATTTGAGCCATATTTCACTTGCTTTAGTGTTTAGAAAGCAGCTATATAGATTTCAGTTTTCTGTATCACAGAGTTGCTAGTGAAGGAGATGGCTTAATTTCCTGATGGGCCTTACATGATGACTCACAGTTGTTCATCTTAGATGTTACACAGTTTTTCCTGAGCAGCAGATGCATTTTTATCTCATAACTGAATCTTGTAACTGATTTACATTCCTACTCATAGTCCATCTTCAATCTGCTTGGCTCCTTGTCTGATCTACTATATATATAGTAGATCTATTGTTCTTATTACAGTTTATAATATATTTAATTTTATACCATGTTATCTCTAGTATATGTATAGAAATTACATTAGGTACTTTTGGGAGCGCAGCAGATAAGTAAATACAGATGTCCCCCTGGACGGTCGTAATCCTCGTAGGCTTGTAGTCCTGTCACAGGTGGTGAGGTGGTCGCACCTCGGCCTGGATTTTGCTTCTCCCTCAGAAAAGAAAGGAAGTACAGTCCCCACGGGTTTCTTTATTCTTAGACCATTTTTTTCTAATTAAAGACATGGCAGATTTGTTTCCAACACTTTTTCTTTAAAATGTACTCATGTACATGCAGGCAATACACCCATACACATAGAAAAAAGTAATAATAATAAAAAAAATTTAAAAATGCCTGTAACTCCTCTTCTTCAGTTACTCAACTTTGATGCCTGTGTGGTGACTGCCTGTTAATTGAAGCTGCTAGTACCAATTTTTATTCTTTTTAAATAGAAAAAAGAGAGCACCAGTTTGGTCTTTTTCTATGTTTTCCTTTACGCATTTGCTCTTTTAGAAAGTAGATACTAATGGTTGCATCTCAGTTACCCAACAGCCTCAGCTGTCTAAAGCAGTGCTGTGCAACAGAATTTTCTGTGATGATGGAAACCCTTATCTCTGCTGCTGCTTGCCAGTAGCCAGTGGCATGCATGACTGTTGAGCAGATGAGGTGATGGTATAACTGAGAAACTGGATTAGAGGTTTTGTGTAATTATAATTTAATGAGCTACGTACCACTGATGGCTAGTACTTTGGATGGCGCAATTTAGAATACATCCTAGACCTTAGGAGAAAGTAAAGAAGTTTTCAGAGTATTCTAGTCTTAGATGAGAGCTCTTTAGGGCCATACTCAGAAGTGACTTATGACTCATCTGTACTAAAACTTTAAAGCTTATTTATGGGGCTGGGGTATAGCTCACTTGATAGAGTTCAGATGCAGAAAGCCCTAGCTTTGATCTCTAGCACCACCTAAAGCAGGTGAGGTAGTGTACATCTGTCTCCCCAGCACTTGGGAGGTGAAGGATGGAGGATCAGAAGTTCAAAGTCATCCTTCACTACATAGTTAACTTGAGAACAGCTGGAATACAGGAGATCCTGTCTAAAAAAAGGGGGGGGTCTGGGTAGATTGTGAGTTCAAGGTCATCCTGAGCTACACAGGAGTTTCAGGCCAGCCTGTGCTGAGTCATGAGCTCTGGTGTTAGAACTAGTAGTAGTAGTGAGGGAGAATGGCATTCAAAATCGTTAAACTGTGAAAGAAGAACAGTTGAAGCATTCATGTTTTTGCCGTTTGTTGATTACTCAGATGACATGTAGTTATGTGTTTGTGTGTCCTACACACCCTGTGCTTCCAGAGTAGTGTGTGATCATGGGCCGGCTGACTGGGCAGCCGTTCTTAAAGGCTGTTTTCCTACTGTTGCTCTTTTCCCTGGTGCCATACAAATGAGGCACACCTTTTCATTGATTCTTATGATCATAATCTGTGTGTTATTTGGTTTAGCCTAGAGCTGGTATGGCTACACTGAAAAGGTTTCAGTGACTCAGAACTGTGTCTTCAGGACCGCTTATAATAATGGGATAGTAAGCTTGAGTCACAGAGCATAAAGACTTAGGACTGCATGTCAGATTTGAGTGCAGTTATCCAAATCGAAACATTTTAAAAATTTAAAAGTCACTCAACATAATATATATGTGTAATTGGAATAGTAATCTGTGTATGGTTGACTATACCTATCTGTCTATAACCAACTGAAATATACATTTACTATCCTAGGAGCTGGGAAAATATGGTCTGCTTTATTACAATGCACTGTTCATGATTCTTCCCACTCTGGCCATTGCATATTTCACAGGAGATGCACAGAAGGTAGGACTTTCTAATTATGGGTTGTTGAAGTATTGTTTATGATAAAAAAAAAACAATAGACGTTTGGGTTGTTAAAAAAAAATATGCTTACTGAGTTGTCGCAAACTGAAAATTTACTCTTTAGCTTGCTAGAGTCATGCTAGCCTGCCTTCTTGACGTCAGTATTGGAGAGTGCTAACATGGCTCAGAATAGCTCTTATATGCATGCCAGCACACAGAAAAACTTTTGCATTAAAACTAATCTGTGAGATCAGATCCAGCCTGGGCTACATGGAGAGTTCCAGGCCAGCTGGAGCTACAGAGAGCCTCTGTTTGGTGGGGGTGGGGTGGGTTTCCTTGCTTTTTCCTTTGTAAACACAGCTATTGTTAAATGAACACCTACTGGGTTAGACTTTGTGTTAAATGCTTTATACAAGGATCATCTCATTTAATCCTCAGTAGCTCTCCAAGTTGGGTGCCACAGTAACCTTCACTTTACAAAGTAGTTGTTAGAGCCCAGAGAATCAATCTAGTATCTAGTTTGTGACCACTGCTCTCTCTTTCCGGCCTGAGCTTACTTCCCACTCCATTCCTAACACAGCTACTACCCTGACTCTGGTCTCACTGTCTTCTGCATACAGCATTAAACTCTTAAGACCCTGATCTGGCTGCACCATAGATCCCAGAACCCATGACAGATCTCGGGTTCAGTCCCCTTCTCAAGCACATCGGCCCCTGGTTCTCTAACTCCTGTTATCATTTCCTGAGGCTTGCCAGGCCCCAGAGTTTCCAAGCTTGGGCCCACTGTCCAGAGCACCATTATGACCTGGCTATGTAGGGTCTGGCAATCTCTACTGAAAGTAGGATATCCTGGATACAAGGGGGCATCCCAGTCAGCCAACTAGCGGAGGGCTTCAGCAAAAGTGTCTTTGAGCTTGCAGAAAGCCCCCTAGGACTCTTGTACAAAAAGGCACTGCAAGGGCTAGAAAGATCACTCAGTGGTTATGAGCACTGACAGCTCTTGCAAGGCAGTTCTAGGAACCTGATTTTGATTTCCAGTACCCACATCGTGGCTAACAACCATATATAACTCCAGTTCCAGGGGAATTTGACACCCTCTTCTGACCTCCATGGGT